CTAAACGCTAAGAATCTACCTACCAAGGTGGTGTCAGTGGTCTGCGGGACCAAGTTGCGTCCTCGCTTCACCACCTAATCTCGTGACTAGCACGGGAATCAACAGTACCATGTTAAACTTCTCCTGCAGCAACGTCGTCGCGACGGTCAGAACCAGTACTTAATACAGTGACGGTGTACCCGGAGTCGGAGAACTTATGGGAGTACGAAGTGCCACTGCGGCAGGATTTTACGTACGCCATTGACGTTCTATCTGTCTTCTTCAGGGTCAATCGACTCACGCCGCTTCGCACTAGTCGATGCGGGAGTGAAGGGGGATACAGCTGCAGCAGGTGCACTGGTGTGCGGGTCAGTAGCTGCCGCAGCATAGCGGGTGAGATAAAACGATCGAAGTTGGCCTTTGGCCTTTTGTGTTAAGAAATAAAATAACACCTTCCTTCCTGGTCGAATGTTGGCATCTGATGCGCTCTCATGTAGATTCCACAGGCTTAACAAATGACGTGTTTTGTAAGCTTAACGCGTAAAGGCGAAATCATTATCCGCCGCTGTCACCAGTGAAGAGAACGATGGGCATTGTCCGCATGAAGGACACTGATTCACCTTGTGCTTGCAGATTTATCCTGTCAAGGTACTCTTGATCGGTCATACGTTCAACCCCCCAATATCTCGCTATGAGAGCCCTCCTCTTCGCTAGTGCTGTGTCGGAGACAGCCTTGGATCCCGTGATCCATGTTGCGAGTGACTGCTCGGCAGTCTGACAAATACGCTCATTCACAGTCGTTGGAGTGAAGCGTTATCCACTGCTAGCATTAAATGTTGACCAACTGAATATATTGTGCTTAATCTTCATCGAGAGTATTGTGCAACACACCCGATGCAGGGTCGACGACTGCACGCTGTGCAGTGGGTTTAGGTACCTCATCGCGTTCCACAAATGGATTCGGTGCGATGCCTATGTTGTCACGCGCCGGTGGCGTAGCTGAAGGATGGTCGTAGATGCTCGAAGCAGCGGTGTTGTGGTGGAGTGGGTTGTCAAAATTGTTTGACGAGGCCCCAAACACTCACTCTGACGGACTGCCGACTGTCGGCGGAGGTACCCCGATGCCGCTCATGGACCTTGAATTACCTTTTGTACCCGTCAGCTTGGCGGGTTTCACTTTTCGAAGGACTTGGTGATAATGTAGACGTCCGCCTTGATAGAGGTCGACCTGGGAGGGGGCGAGCGGATATGCTTCAGTCAGGTTCCAATGTAGGCGGCCACTCGATCCACTTGGTCGAGAGTGGTCTTACAACCAGTCGTCTCAGGTGAAGGTGGCCTTTACTTGTCTCAGTGATGTTAACCGCCTAGCCTTTGTGTGTATTCTCCCTTACCACTAGGGCATGGAGACCGCTTCCTATAGCGGACTTGAGTTGGGGGGGGGCTACTCTACAAAGACACAGGCCAATGTACTTCCTGGGGTTCTACTTACGCTTGTGTCTTACCGAAAACTGTCTATTCGACGGGTGGGCCAAACAGATCCCTGGCCCGGAACAGGTCGGTAGACTTACAAGTTTCTTAGCGCACGACACGTCGTGCTACTAAGATCGCAAATTGAGTAGTCTTAAATATAATCCTATTCTTGAAACTCCTTTACTCAATTTTTTTCTCGCACCTGGGTTCGCAATGATATGTGGCTTGAAGCCACCAGATCTTGAGGAATCAAGTCGACCTACTGGTGACCTGGTCCACCCTGGGCAGCTAGGCCGACCGACGAGTGGGTGAGAACGCTCCATATCGGCACCGTTTAACTGGTACCGGTGGTCGGTTTGACCCCGTTAGCAGTAACCTTAACCGCTCGTCACGGTTAGACCCAACGGCCGCTCCTTACCTGTGACCCCCAAGCCTCCAGTCCATTTCTCGGCCGCGAGGTCCCATGTCCGTCCGGATCTTCGACTTAAATTCATTATTTCCGAATACTCGCTTCACTAAAGTGTCACCTTCGTAGTCCACCACACCCTCTTCGAGAACTTCTTCTAGGGTTTTGGATGAATCATTTGACTCAGCCATTTTTGAGATGTGGAGTGAACACGATGGTCTAGGACCAGGGCTTTGAAAGTCTTTAAAGCGCAGTAGAAGAATTATCGATACCAGGGTGTTGTCAGTTTGATGGTAGATGGTTTAACGGGATTACGCGCGATTATTGAACCGGTTATGTTGTGTGTCCACACCATGTAAAGATCGGTGGATCTGAGTGGTACAGTCTTGGTACCACGCACTTACGGTAATACCCCATCGGTAAGGGATAAGGGATCAGACTTCTGAGATATGATCGCAATGTAGAAGCCAGTCAGGCAAGGTTTTAGGGTTCTATTACCGTAGTTAAAAGATTAAATAAAGTTCAGTTCCCCTTTTGAATCGTTGGACGCTAGTGCCTAGTCAAGGCATAGTGTGTTGTCAAGAGCATGAGCCTTGTAAAGCCGTTTACTCTTGTTTAACTAGTAGTGACTAGTGAGTGTGTGAATCTTAATTCCTTTGGAACCAGGATTGTTAAGCTTGTACGCTTGAGAGACTGTACGTCGTTGTTAGTTTGTCATAACTAAGGACCTCTTCGAGTCCAAAATTCCTCTACTGAGGAGCGCTAAAAAGCTCCGCTACAGGTACGAAACTTTGTTTAGGTGCGAAAAACGTTACGCAACATTATAATGTGGAATGTACTAAAACGAACTGTCCAGATATTGGCAACAGTCCATTTTTGCTTTAGTGGCGTTGGTAGTTCGACTGGAACGGTGCTCGCATAGGATGGTTCCCCATGCGTCCTTGGACAGTATCTGAAGGAAGAAGTCTACGTGACCCCTCTAGCTCAAGGTCGTGATGAAAACAATGTATGGAAACAAAAGAAAGCTCATCATGGGCTAAAGTAAGCATTTCGAGCATGGCACGACTTTTTGAAACGATACCTGCTCAATGTTGGCTTCAAGAAGTGCCGTTCCTTCACTTGCTAGTGAAGTGAAAGTTTATGAGCGTTGTTGTGGTTCTACTATGCGTTTGGTACATGATTCTTTGGAGTGGTGCCAACGTAAAACTTGATATCTGAAGGCGCAATTGTACACAACATAGCAACTACTGCTTCTGGATCGACAAACAGATTAGTGGAAATGGAGCTAATTCCATGCGATACCGGGACGTGTTTAAATTGGACAAAACAGTTTAATACTTCAATCGTCAAGCACGCTCTGTTTACAGTGCCACAAACCAAGTTCCGAGGACTCCAATGGATCCTGAATTTCAACGGCGGCTAAAAAAAAACTATGTGCCCGCAAAAATTCTCAGCGCCAAATAGTATAAGAATATTCAAATCCAAGCACAATCCGTCGACCCTACCTTGCAACTCCAATTCGGATTCTACGTCAATATACAGATTTACAAACGTACACCGTAAAAGATGCAGTCGATGGTACTGTTGGACATTTGAGGTGCACAGCATAAACGATTTAGAGTTTCACCGTTCAAGAAGTGATAACCTTCAGCTTGAACTGTATTGCGATGCGATACTCGCATTCGAGACACAACGAAAGTCATCAACCGTATCTGGCGTATTCTTAAGTGGATGTTATACTGCTTTAAGTTATTATAGCAATGAAAAATACTATGCTTTCATTATAATGAAATCGCCTGTGGCTTCATCAACTAAAACACAATTCTTCTTTACTTTCTAACACCAATCTGGGATGGCGTGAATGTGCAGTGCGTTTCGCGAAGGATTGTATCATAGTGTTGAACTTCACAGCAGCGTCGTGCCGTTTTATTCACAAAAAAGTGGGTCCAAACAAAACTTCTATTTGCGTGAGCATGGTGGGAGCACGTTGCGCCGTCAAGGTTGCAAATCAACATTCTGGCGGGCCGTTGCATGTGTATGCGAGTGGTGCCTGAATGAAATTTCTGCTGAACTGTATGACGGTAGAACGATCAGAGGCAAGCAGAATGAGCGTGACAGATTCTTCCATTTATGTGTGCTCTCATGTTCGCTGTCGATGTAACCATGTTCGAATTACATCGCTTGCACGTGACACTCGACACGTGGGACCTGTCCTGGCCTTTTACTCTCGATGTCATCAAACTCAACCTACTCAACACGACGAGCTTCTAAAGAATGGCGTGACCGTGGTGCTGAGAGTGGTCTACAGCAGAGCAAGTAAGCTCTATAGCCAGCGGAAGACCTATGGACAGCAGCTACTTAGTTCTACGTAAGTAAGAACAAAGTAATGAAAGTCAACCATTTGGAGCAACTAGGGATCGACTCTAAGTCGACAAACTAAAGACGTTTACATTTTCTACAGAATTGACAGCACAAGTTTCTCGAGAGTTGAAAGACCTTACGCTTGAACTCTTCAGCTCATAAACGGAGATGAATTTTAGTATTGATTTACGCATGGTATTGAGTCTGTATCGAGGAATTGTAACTAAGGTCGGATTGATCGTTATAGCAATTTTCGTATGGAGAACTACAAAATAGGTGACCCGTCAGTTATCAGTGCAGTCTGTACGCAGTACTACAGTATCAGTTATGGCACCGTTACTGTTGTTGTACGGTGTCACCGATAGCAAATCGTTTAATTCACGTTCAATACATCTGTGTGGACTTTGTATCAGGTTTGTGAATTTAAAATTATTACCAATCATCAAACGTTGTGTAACCCCATTGCACATGTAACCGGTATCAAAACCTAATTATTTAATATGATTAAACGATTTATCACACTAAAACCTTTACTCAGTTTTGACTTATTCAAAACGTTTATATATGAACAACACTGCTCAGACCTCTGTAAAAACACAAAGCTATAATACGGCCGATTCCAAACATCGTCGTATCCAAAACATCGTCCATCCCCATCACTTTCGAGCGACTTGACTAAGTGCGCACGAGACGTGTATACACTCGTTGCGTGTATTTCCACAATAGTGTGACAATCAAAAGGCAGCCTCGACTTCATCTTGTCAACCTCAAATTGCCTATATCCATGAACTCTACCGGCGGCTGCCGTCTCTTGGGCGTCGCCCTCGTTGTTGACGACATAAGCAAAGGCTGCAATTTAGCCTTCCGATACCCTTTTCCACCGCGTAAAAACGCGTCTAGTTTCCATACGCTCCCCGCTCCTCTCTTGGCTAAACTCTTTCGACCGAAGAACGCGCTCTGTAACGCAAGTTTCGAGCTGGTAGTTGATGATCTGCGATTTGTGAGTCACCCCGTGCTCGTGTCTCGGCGGTCACCGACTGCAGCCCCAGTGGACAACGTAGGGAACGACTCGCCCGTTGGGGTGAACGCCAATGGGGCGTTGAGAGCGTCGTCGTTTACCGTCACAGAGCACGCTTCGACCAATGGCTCGAGTACTGTTCCTTTAACGTCAGGAAACGAGACGACAATGTTCAATATCATTTTTGCACTTGAAGACTGTCCGTTACAAGAGTCAAGAGCTGCTGAAGCTTTGGCGGGATTGTACAATGGGACGCACCTTTGGCCATTGCAGCAAGCGGATGAGGAGGAGCTTTTTGCGAGAAGAAGGATGAGTGCTCAATCTTTTCATACAGTCGCTGCACAACTGGCTAATGGCCTTTTGCACGAGGAACTACGGGTCGGCTTTGTGTCGAAAGAAGTGCGAGAGCTGCTGCAAGTGAGAGATGAAGTCGCTCAAAGTGAACGTACTTCAGGGAACAAGTACGCGGGTGTATCCGGTATCGGTTCCACTGGATCAAGTCTGAGTGCTTCAGTTGCAGCAGGGAATACGAATGGCAATGGGACCACGAGTAATGCCGGAGGCGGAGGTGGAGGTACAGGAAGTAATGGAGTGAGTTTGGGCCACCAATATGATCACAGAAAGGATGGCGAGAGTGGATCGACCAGTGTGGAGGTAGATGCGCAGACGCTGATTGACGTATCACTGGGAAAAAGTGTTCTGGCGAATGACTTGAAGCGAGTTTTTCATGGACTTGCAGAAGCTGGAGCTGCTCACGTCGTGCTGAATGGATGGGTAAAGCTGTCACTAACGCTCACGGATGCTGTGACGGTTCGAATGGCAAGTCTGCGTCCGTATCATACACTTTTATTACTGTCTGACAAGAGTGCAATTTTGAATAAGCTGCCTGCAGATCATGCCCGTCAGCTACGAGATCTGGTAGAAGCCGTGAATCCGTTGAAGAGTTTTCAGGATATCGCTCTGGGGACCAGTGTCCCTATTCATCAGGTCTTTCGCCTTTCAGCTCATCTCGTGTATTGGGGATATGGGCGAATTGTGGATGCCATTACGCTGTACAACATTTACCAGGTAAATCCGAACGCAGATTTGCATGTAAAATCACCGCTGGCATTGGATTTCCGGAGAAAGTTTGCACCCTACGAATTGGGAGAGGTATTGTCGACGTTTTCAGGAACTCGTCGCATTGGCGAACACATGAAGACATTGTCAACGACGAAAAAAACGGAATACATCCACATGCTGATCTGGCTACTACAGCAACGATTTGTCATACAGCTCCATCGCTATATCTATTTTATGATTCCGTCGGACGGAGACTACGCAGCTGACGTTGGCACTGGAAGCGTTTCTTCTGTAGAAGGCTCCTCTCTGGCACATGTAACACCCAGCTTCCACCGTCTGCGGATGAATGGTAGCCTGGCAAACGCAACCGCGTCCGGGAGTGTACCGATAGCTCGGACGCCACCTGGTAGTCCAGCTAGTTTGGCATTGCTGTCGCCTCCGATGGTACCATCATGTGAACGTTCGGCAGCAGAAGGACAGGGAGACAGCAGAGTGCCGATGCCGCAAGCGACGAATGTAGCCAGCCAATTGCTTTTCACGGACCAAGAGCGTGCGTACCTTGCTAAGATAGCCAAACCCAATCCCGTGTTTGCGCTGTTCAAGCGCCTGTGCGTGTATTTTCACGGAGAGCACCATATCGAAGAGATCATGTGGCGCGAGAATCTGTCCCGCGGTGAGCTTCGCACCGTTATGAGTACGTACCAGGACATTATCGTCTGCTGTCTACACGAGTGAGCTAAAAGCACGGCTGATGCAAACTCGATATAAGGAAATGTCTTCGAAGCTGCAATGACGAGCTAGCAGCTTGCTCGACTTCATTCGTTCAAACCTGGCAGCTACGGATACGATACCCGTGCAACTACGTACTAATAGCCTTGCCGACGTGTTAGTCTGACGAGCCAGTGCCGTTTGACGAGGACTCTGCTACTAAACTTCGGTTCTTTAACAGACCAACGACCTCCAAGATTGTCTCGCGGTAGGCTGCTTGCTCTAGCAATATACCGCTAACGTGGCCTGCCTTTATCGTCCTAAAGTGGGCTGATCTCCATTGCTCGCGCATGCGCTGGGCAGATAACACTGTCAAGACTGGGCTACACAAATCTTCCAGAAAAGACACGTACCTCCCACTGAGACTCCTTGAAGCCGATGTACTCGTCTTCGGTGCCGTACACAAAGACAACGGCATCTGAACGTCGCGGAGGTAAGAAATTGTCGATATCCGTAATGGAGAGGAACAATCTCATGCGCTTCTTGACTTCCTGCACTGGATCTAGTGCCAGGTCAAAAAATTCGGCTCGATCTTTTCCAGCGTCGGAAGCACCATCTATCTGATTTTCACACGACTCTGCTATGGCGTGACCTGTAAGCATTTTATCCAGCAATAGCAACTCGTGTTGTTTGTAAAGCGAGCGCCAATTGCAAGATCCTGAAAGCAATCCGTCTGCAAACACAGGGACGGCTGACGGTGGGGCCAACCAGGCTGTAACTCCCACATCCCCAGGAAACACGGATGCGACCATAGCAGCATGCAGTCCACCCATACTGCTACCAGCTACTATCAATTGTGAGAAACCGTGGTAATCGTGGAAGTACTGCAACAGGGACTTGGCTTCTTCTATCGTTGCTTGGCCTAGGGTTGGCAGATCACTTACCCTACATGTGACAACGTACACGGTAGAATCGTTGCATACTTGGACGAAAATACAAATAAAACAACGACAAATGCGTGGTATGCCACACCTTCGCAGCTTCGACCCTTTTTGCTGAGGTGGTTTGCGCTTGCCGTAAAAAGGTCCTTCCAAAATCTAAAGCACAAGCCGGGAAAAAACCGACAGCGAGAAAGCAGCAAGTAACTTAGCAACTTTGTACTGCACAACTTGGCAGTTATACGCAACGTACTAACGTAGCGAGTCCTCGTTTTGCCAATGGAATAGCCACAGACGTCCTTCGATGCAAGAACCCGTGCTCTCCCGTTCCCGGTAATAGCACTGCAAATCAGAGGTTCAAAAATGAACACCACCACCTAGCCCTTTCACCTTGCTATAAACTCGATTACAAACGAATCGAAACAATAAGAACCGACGTACACACAAGAGGTCGATTGTTTGTCCCTTGTGGGATCGTCGCATTTTTTCGTTCCCATTCCAACGGAGTGACCAGTTCACAAAAGGCGTTGAGACTTTCCTTAGGTAGCATTTGCTCTGCATTTGCCAACGTGCTCTGGAAATGACCTTCTCGCCGTACCACTTCGGCTATTGCCAACCTTCGCACGGTACCCCATGTTAGTTCCCCTTCGCGCAACCGCACGACCTCATTTATCCGTCGGCTGTGAAGTAAGTCTCGAATCCGCTGGGGAGTACTCAGATCTCCCCACCCCTCGGAAAAAAATCCGTTAGGAAACAAAGCTGGATTTTGTGTCACAGCAGCTGTTGCTCGGTCCAAATAGCGATGATGACTAGCCGTCACGCCGTCCAAAACACGGCTGGGCGACCGCAATAGTGCAGCCAAAAGCCTCCATGGATGCAGCTTGGGAATTTGAAGCTGCACGAGCCAGCGGTTGATGGGTGAGTCACGAAGTGTACGCATGGAAATGGGAAGTGCACGAACGCTGCTTTGTGTTACGCGAATCGGTGCACGCTTTCGTAAAATGATGGAATATAGTCAAAATGTTGGAATTCACTAGTATACCCGTCGGACAGTCGTACAAAAAGAAAGTCCGCACTGACTAGAAGTGGTACTCTATTTGAAATGACGCAGTGACGTCACCGGCATTATCCGTTGTTTTAGACAGAAGCTGACTGTTTCTCATGCTTTGTATACCTATGTGTGTAGCAAAAGTAATGCTAGAATGAGGATCGATTCATGTGAGAAGATCTTGTTTATGGGTTGTATCATGTTTGCACCGAGCAAGACTTGCGGTGAGGGGGGGGGTGTTGTAACGGGGTTACACGCTATTATTGAACCGGTTACGTTGTGTGTCCACACCAAGTAAAGATCGGTGGATCTGAGTGGTACAGTCTTGGTACCACGCACGTGCGGTAAAATACCGCACCTAATTGGGTTGGACAAGTAATCAGACTTCTGTCATAGGATCGCAAAGTAGAAGTCAGTCAGGCAAGGTTTTAGGGTTCTATTACCGTAGTTAAAAAAGTAAACAAAGTTCTGTTCCCCTTTTGAATCGTTGGACGCTAGTGCCTATTCAAGACATAGTGTGTTGTCAAGAGCATTAGCCTTGTAAGGCCAGCTTACTCATGTTTAACCAGTAGTGACTTGTTATGATTCTGTGAATCGTAATCCATTTGGAACCCGGATTGTTAAGCTCGTGCACTTGAACGACTGTACGTCGTTGTTAGTTTGTCATAATTAAAAGACTATTTGAGCCTAAAATCTCCTCTACTAAGGAGCGCTAAGTAGCTCCGCTACAGGTGTTGTCATGTGATTTAGTCATCGTCACACCCGGAGTTATGTTAGAGTCATGAGGCTTATTGACACTATTTCTCGTCGCATGTTTGATTTCTGGTCGCTTCTTTGCATGAAACTTTCAATGCAGCGACACATGGGAACCGGGCCATGTTAATTACGTACACCAAAGTATTAGAGGTGCTCGATAGATGCTTGCTCAAATCGAGATCGGGGAGTTGTCATTGAAACGGTGACAAGCTCGGCTATTTAGGCGCCCTTGGAGATTGGTGTGTCCGCAAGCCTTAATGTGAGTTCTGTGGTCGCCATACATATCCTCATGATGAAAATTGCGCCAGAATGACACTAACGAGTAGCGTTCACTGTCAAATATTGATGCCCGTCAAGCAGTACAACCAACGCAAACGACTCCAACGGAGAGATGGACCAATCTAGGGGTTTGTACACAAGAAAGGCGTACTAGTATCGCCTCTGGTGACCCTAATGTTTGGACGCTCAACTTGTGCTGCGAGCAGATCGTCGTAGACCGCAAACATGTTAGTCGAGTCCCCATTGTCATACACGATTGACCAACGATTTCAAAATAATCACAGAGCCTGCACATGTACTTCAGTTGTCCAGAGCTTTGACGAAGGTAGATGTGAGGCTGATGTTTCCAGAAAAGCCTTGCTTGCTTGTTTTTGATTTATAAGGAGCCTCTTGCTGAATACTTTCTTTATCGGTTGTCTTGCGACTAATAACGAACAACCACAATGTATCCTGCCATGTCATGCTCGAATAGTTAACTGTGTTTGTAGGACAAACACAGTTAACAATTTGACATTGTTCGAAAATCCAAAAAAAGTCCTGAATTTAGTCGAATATTTCATATCCATGAGTTTTCTTTGAGTGATTTCTATCCCGCAGAGCATCGATGTTCTGCAGAGGGAATGACTTGCGGGATGCAGCATTACGATATTCATCTCTTCATCAGTCCAAATATGCTAAGTGCCATTACCATAAGCCGTAATGTGGTCATCATTGCAAAAATTGTCATATCTTTTCCAGTCTCCGAGAACTCTTGTTTTAGCTTGCTTAGCACATGCCATACTGCAGCACGTAGATTGCTCATCTTTACGAAGTCGTCGTATCGTCTTTATCCGGAGTGACCGACTGCTTCTTTTCTTGTTGAATACTGTTAATTTATGGTGCGTCTTAATCTGCACTTGTGCAGATGTAGTTAGAAGCAAAGTGAAACACATTTAGTATTAACTATTCCCCTTTGGCAAAGCTACGACATGCACTCGGAATGCACTGCAACTTGACCATGCACTTGACTGATGTCATTCGTCCTCCCTGTCCATCTCATACGGTGGTCCCACGTCGCAACCGTGTCATATTGTCTTAAGTGTCATCTCGCCACCTCGCTGCCCCATCTGTCAAGTCGTTGACCTGTCTTTCCCTGTCCCCTCTGCCCTATAACCTCTTCGTGGCCCACATGTCACCTGGTCTGACCACTGAACAATCAGGTAAGACCGTAACGTGGTATAACCCTTAACCCTTGAGCCTGTCAAACGTGTAGTTTCGAATAGGTACTGAGACGAAAGCGTCGCAGTGTTGACTCGTTGTATCATTCGAGCAATTCTTGAAATCCACATGCAATTGATTGATGGTATGAAGTCGCATGTTATTGCTTTAAGACCATGGATTTTTAAAGTATGCTTTCGAGTTTTTATGAATTTATCTGATCTACCAGAGCATATACATCGCTCGCACTGACGTGATAATAATCTGGTGAGGTACGATGAAGGTTCGCTCTCGATAAATAGCACTGCAAACTTTCTGCAAATGTCAAACAGTACACCGGGCATCTTCAAGTACTTTCAACCTGACAGCGGACTAGAAAATAGCCGTTAATGACACCGAGAAGCTTCGTCAGCCTTGTCCACTGCCGTAGGACCATTTGTGTTGAGTAATTATGACGTAGTCAGAGTACAGACTTGAACGAGAAGATCATTCGTGCATTGCGGGACAAAAGAAGAAACCTCGCAGAAACCTGGTGTGCTGGCACTTCGATGCTATTCAGATAGGTTTTCAAGGCTGTCAACACAAAGTATACCCGTGAATTTTACAGCAGACAACAAGCAACACTACTGATGAACTGCAAGTGCTAGGGAGTAAAGTGAGAGATTCGACGGATGGAAAATTACATTAGTATGCGATCGTGGCCACCTTACTAATGACCAAACGGCTGGAACATTCATCACGTCCATAGCTTGTATTTGATGCAAAGCTCCAAAGACAGAAAATACTTTCGAGACAGCAAGTTTGCGTCACACCGATTTGCGTTCTGTTTGAATGATCGAGAACGTCGAACCCTACACGTGTATAAAAGTCAAGCATGCTACGCATTTGACAAGTACAATGTACACGTCATAAAGCACATCGCGATTTGAGATCAAAATACGGTTACATATTGCAACATTGAAAACGTTTACGCTGATATCATGAGCTTTTGTGACTTGATGCGATAGAATTGTGGTATTCTTGCGACACCCCACCCAAGCACTGTTATCGCATCTACACAGTTTTGTGGTATTAAGTTGCATATCCAAAATGCTGGCTAATCAGCCATTTCTTGCAGGCAGCATAGCTGAGTGTGCTCGCGTCTGTTTCGTTGCCATCATCATTTACTTTGCCTTGTCGATACCAGATAGCTTTTACACCACATGCAAGTGTTTCCAGCACATCGTTACACCGTCGACCTATATTAGTGTACCACCTCTTTTAACTGTTCGGTTTGTCGACCCCCACATGTATCAGTGTAAGCCACATTATTTTTGTATCCACACCTTTTGAGTGCTTGGAATAATAGTATGTATAGTCCCTATTACTGAATGCTCGAATTAATGTACTAATTATGCTATGGTCCTGCATGTATGTGACAACCACAGTTCCTTTCATTTGCACCCTATAGATAAAATATCTACCATATAACTATACAGTAGCCCGATGTAATGCAAACCGCGTCATATTGTGCTGTGATCCTACAGGCGTAAACCAATTTACTCGGGATAAAATACTACTCCGAGGGCTACAGTAACACGTGAAATCGAAAATCGTTTAAACGAACGGATAAAAATCCGTGTATGCTATACTGGATTTGCATATTCCTCACGTCCTACAAATTCTTCGTGGGCACATCAAATTTAGGCATGTGCTTATAAAAAACCTCTTCCCAGACCCTGGAGGGTGATTTAAAATATTCGAAGCCCAATTATCTAAGCAGTACAGATTTACGCCTATTTCGAATCTATGCTATGCGCTCCATGGCTTATATTCACTGTGACATGATATCGGTGCCACAGATTTGGTAGGGCTCAGCACAATATCCAGGAAGAGCGCAACTTTAAAGTGTCTCCGGTGCTTAGAGATCATCTGTTGTAACTCGGGAAAAGCTATTTTTGTTCCAACGTCCCGAGACGCCTAGAAAAAGGCCACAACTGATTATTGAAGTACGTGCATATGAGAGCCCATCCGCTCCACGCTTATCGTTAACCTTAAGGACTGATTATGTAGTCAGTTTTAGAAAAGCGCTTTCTTGCATTTATCATTTACCTGACCATGCCTCGTATCACCGCACAGCAATTGACCATTCATCGATTCTGGTCATCCGCATCTTCTTCTATTACCACAGCCTCGTCCATTCGTCGTTTATGTTGGATACGACGCAGGAGTCACAAGGCTTGACGAGGTGTGTCGAGCGTGGTTGAATGTAAGACACCGTAGTCTTCGTCTGCGCCAATGCCAACGCTGTAGTAAGGTCCTCAGACCCATTATGCCTTCCGCAGTTGTCAAGGGGCATGATGATCTCTCGACCATACTGATTAACCATGTATACTCGCCACTCTAAAAACCAGGCTGGACACCTGGGAGATGAATAAAATTCAATCGAAAATCATACGCTTCTAACCGTGATCCTGACCAAAAAGCATTTAAACGGAACTTACCGTCTTGTCGGTCCAGCCTGTTGGCCCATTTTGGTACATAACTTCGGGAACAGTTACCGGCAAACATTACATCTGATATCTGCGCTTCGCACTTTGAAAGATGATCATTGGGGTGCCACTGCATGAACTTGCACCACCTGTAATGTGAACTATTATTGTCATTGTAGCGGAGCTTCA